AAATGAGATTTTGTTAGCATAGTGGTAGTTATTTGCTTATAACTTCGATCGGTGAAGTGTAATATGAAAGTTGTTGGGTTTAAGTTGGATTAAGCGAATATCTTGTAGGGCAAGGTGAGAGCTTCAAGTTTTATTAATAATCTACCTTGTTTTATAGATGAGATAATCTACCCGAGCTTCTGAAAAAAGTATTGTAAAATGTATAAAAAAAAACCTTAATTAATTGTGTAACGATCTACAAAATCGGGGCACTCGGGACGTTCTTACCTGTTGATCAGCCCCGGTTGAACTTTCGGTTGACGGTTCAAAACACTACCTGTACCTAATTCTGCCTAACATTATCAGTTATTACTCTGGTTTAAATTATACTACTTAAAGTCATATAACTTTAAGCCACATTAGCTAGCCGATTATATTATATCGGCTGGCTTAGCCGGCTAAGCCGCCTTAGCCGTGGCTGCCCCAGCTGGCTTGTAATACTACTTATATCTGATTTTTCTTAGTTGACCATCATGGTTTTAATTGAATAAAAAGATTAACTAGTGCAAACTATATAAAGTTACATATAAAATCTCTTTATGCAGGTTGACAATCATATAGCTAAAAAATTACATACGTACATCGACAGGGAGGCATTTTCAGTATACAATAGAAATTATACATGGCCTGAAATATTTAAAAGTTTTTTAAATAACTAATTAAATTGTTTAGATAATATATAGTTATTTTGATGATGATTCATCATCAAATAACCGTTATTTGATGATGACGCAATCATCATCAAAATTCGAGTCATTCTGTTGGTTCGGTCGTCGTAAGATACCGGATAATACCGTTATTGAATGCTACTCAGCCAATAACTTGTTTATCTGGCAGCGAATTTAATATGTATCATTTCTGGGCCCCTTCGGGACCCAGAAGCCAGATAATGAAATTATTTTACAAATAATTTCCGTTATTGACTGCTTCGCATCCAATAACTATATAGTATTTGCACACTTTAGCCTCAATAGTATACTATAGAAAAAAACAAGACTTCGGGCCTTCACCTTTGCTTTATTAAGAATGCTAATGGTATACTATAGTACTCCTTTAGTTTCAATTATTTTGCGGTAGAGTTTCAATAACTTTCTAGTCGTAGTTCAAACTAAAATTAGATCATGATTCTTGCCAGCCACTGGTAATTCATTTATTAATTAAAAGATTACAGGTTAATAAACGATGGAAGATGGAGAACCATATATGGTAATGATAAAGTATCAATTGTCATTGAGGGTTCGCTTTTCTAGAACTATTAGGCTTTTTTACTCGAATTTCGAAGGAAACTTTCACCCATCGTGTACATATTCGATATAATTATTATTGCTTTTATTCAACATATCCAGTCTAGTCGTTAAATCACTTGATTTTCTTTTAATTTGAAAATGAAAATAAATTTTTATTAAGTTATAGCTTGAAAAAAATTTGATTAGCTTTTGAATTTGACGCCATTAACTAAAATAGAAATATTAAAAAATAGGACATATTTGATTTTTTAATAGGACTCCGAATTATTCATAGATAGGTAAGGTTACTGTTGAAATCGAAAAATTCAAGGAAAGCGTATTTTTACATGTAGATTTTCCAATTTAATCAAAATACGTATTTTGGGAGCAAAATTTTGTACGAAAATAAATAAACTCGAACCTGACCCATCTATGAATATTTCGGGGTCTTGTTTTAATTAATATCCAAAAATCTCGATTCCCAAACTATGTAGTAAAATCATAATACATAAAAGGTTTGGGTCGCAGTCCTAATCGACTACTACACTTTTAAGTTGATTGTAAGAAGTGGATGAATTCTCGTGATCTTGATCATCCTCTAGGTATTGACGAGATACAGTCGCAAGATGTTTTAAATTATCCCACATATTAGGATACACGATCGAATCCCATTTATCCTTGATTTCGTTAAAGATTTCACCAAATGCAGAACCTCTCTTCACAATAATACGGAAATATGGATCAATATTTTCATCATCTTTGGGATTGGCAGGACGAAATTCAAGGCGTACTGGCTCCTCTGCTGGATTAGGATGATGTGTTGGGATAATGTAATCAAGAAGAGATTTGTGTTTGGCGTAACCATATTCGTTGAATGTTGGTAAGAGGTCAATAACTACGTCCGGGACATGAACGTGTGGCGCTTCTGTCACATCGTCAAACAAGGTCACCTCAAGTTTAATATTCGAATAGGTGCAAAGCCATTCGAGAATTTCTTGTAAAAAAAAAAAAAAAAAAAATTAACGTAATATTCGCGTTAATCACGAGCTTTATGAATCTGCAAAAATTTTTACCCGGCTTAGTTCCAAGAATTATAAACCTAGAAGAGTTTACAACAGACAAGCTGATCACCTCTGGTAATTTCGTGGGAGTGACAATCTTTCCAGAAGTCATTGTCATATTCCCGACCTGTTCACCTAAAAAAAAAGTGTATTAAGTAGTCAGTAACTACTTTCTTAAGGAAAGAGTCATTATTCGTCGTTTACGATACACTACCAATAGCATAGCCATACTTGAGAACCATTTTGAAACAAGTTAAAATCCTCGAATAATAACGTAACGGAATTTATAGTTTAAGCGATTTTCACCTGATTCAAATATCGCGAGATTTTGCCAAATATGATCCGCATACATGTATGCGCCACATATCCACGTATTCAACGCTTTTCATTTTTTCAAATATACGTATAACTATATACGTATATCATTCTCTCTAGTACGTACGTACGTAACATTTATGCTGTTATACGTATATTATTCGTCATAGGTGCAACAGTAGAATAATACGTAGCTTCCCAGTGGACAGAATTGAAAAAAAATTTAGAGTACAGGTATTATGGCGCATTTGCTATATCTTATGACTCGGTGATCAGAATCGTGTGATTTTACCACCAATCGATTCCTTTCGATGACGCAGAAGCTACGGACAGTTCTTAGGGACAGTTCAGTGGCCAGAATTAGGGTTAGGGCTAGGGTTAGAGTAGGTGGATTTAGTCAGCATGTACTGTCCGTAAGAACTGTCCGTAGACTCGGCGTCTCGATGAGACGAATAAAAAATCATGACATAATGATCTGCAGAGGTTACACCTTTTGCAATCCGCAATAACGTATTTCTTTAAGTTTGTACAACGTTGCATCAGAGATTTCAGTCTTGTAGGCTACGCAGCATACGCAACAGGATCTTGAAATCTAATTTTGGAAGTATCCTCAATAAATAAATGGGAAATAAACTATTTACATAGTTAACTTTAATGTTGAAAAAATTATTTACTACAAATTAAAAATTTCTTCATTATTTCTAAAATGATATCATTACCAGATGACTGTCTTTTCGAAATATTTGATAAATTTGGGACTACTTTTAATTATAAAATCTATTATAAAAGCCTATTTTCATGCCTCCTTGTAAACCGCCAATGGTGTAGAATTATTATACCAATATTATGGAGTAATATAAGTTATTGTAATGATAAAAGACTTATAAGAATATTTCTTTTAACATTAAATAGTGAAGAGCAATCTTTGCTAATTCCCTTCAATATTACCCTTCCAAATTGTTCAAAACCATTATTATTTGAGTACGCAAGTTATGCTTCATCTGTTCACTTTAATTTACGCCATGGAATCAAAAATTGGCTTAATGATGAAGGATATACATCGTCATCATCAATTCCTATTGAAAAAGACGATGAAGAGCCTGTAAATGCTATAATGTGCTCTCTTTTTATAATGTTTATGCGAACAAACAAGAAACTTAAAAGTCTAAATATTACTGGAAAGACTTGTAATAAAATAGTGTCTAAAAGTCTTTACAAACATACTAATATTAACACTGTAAATTTTTATGATTTTGGTTCTAATCTAGAATTATTAACTGAGATTCTTTATAAAACAACTGTTATAACTTCTTTCAATCTTGGATATAATAAAATTGATTCTGAAGGAGGAAGAATATTAGCTGAAGCACTTCATGAAAACACTTCTCTAACCTCTTTAAATTTTGAAGATAATATGCTTAATCCCGAAGGCGGAAAAACATTTGCAAAGTTACTTTACGTAAACACTACTCTTACTTCTTTAAATCTTTCAAATAATCACCTTGGTCATGAGGGAATTAAACCATTTGCAGAAGCTCTTTATAAGAACACTACTTTGCTTTTTTTAGATCTTAGTTTTAATGAAATTGGTTCTGAAGAAGGAAAAGCGTTAGCAGGAGCTATTTGTAAGAATACCGCTCTAAAAGTTTTGAATCTTAATGATAATCAAATTAGCTCTGAAGGAGGAAAAGCGTTGGCAGAAGCTCTTTGTAGGAACGCTACTCTAGAATCTTTGAATCTCTCTGATAATAATATTAATTCTGAAGGAGGAAAAGCAATTGCAAAGTCTCTTTATGTAAATACCACTCTGACTTTTTTAAATCTTTCAAATAATAAACTTAATCACGAAGGAGGAAAAGCATTTGCAGAAGCTCTTTATAAGAACAATACTCTGACTACTTTAATCCTTTTTCGTAATCAATTTGGTTCAGAAGGTGGAAAAGAATTAGCAGAAGCTCTTTGTAAAAATACTGCCCTGAAATCTTTGGATCTATCTACTAATAAATTTGATCCTGAGGGAGGAAAAGCACTCGCAAAGTCTCTTTATGTAAACACTACACTGGAATCTTTAGAACTTTCTAATAATAATATTGATACTGAGGGTGGAAAAATATTCGCAAATTCTCTTTATGTAAACACTACACTGAAATCTTTAAACCTTTCTATTAATAATATTAGTTCAGAAGGAGGTTATGAAATTGCAAAGGCCTTATGTAAAAACACTACTTTAACTTCTTTAGATCTTCATAATAATCCACTAATTTCTGATGGTGTAAAAATGCGAGATATGATTAGTAAAAAAAATACTACTTTGAAATCTTTAGATCTTTCTAAAATTAAATATTGTTACAGACATTTATTTGATTAAATCAATGAAATTTAAGTCTCCTTTATCCTTATAACTCATTTATATTCTCTTAATTTATAACCACATGGATATTTGTTTTTCGGTTTAATTATTTATAGCATCATATTTAATCTAAGCTAAATTAGATATTTTAGGAGCAATAAGGTTTGAAAGTTTAGTTTAGGTATTATTAGGTCCGTCATTTATATATCAATTATGAGCACATGATGCTAGACGCGTCGAACATCTGAGATTTTAGTATAAAGATATAGCGTAATGTAATATAGTGATAGTGTAGTAACGTATGTGGATTAATTAATGTTGTGTTATTTGTGTTGGAATTATCGATTTTCTGATTTAAAAATATATCTAATACTGTTTTATTTACCGGCTAATATAGCGTAATGTAATGTGGATTGGTTAACGTTGTGTTATTTGTGTTGAAATTATCGAAATTTCTGATTTAAAGAAGTAAGAGTAGTGTTTACGTAAAGTAACTTTGCAAATGTTTTTCCGCCTTCGGGATTAA